CAGGGTTTCTTGAAGGATGCAGAAATGAGAGAAAATGTAGGTAGGCTTTGGGACTTCTTAGATTCCTAAGGTAGAAAATGGGTTGATAGAGAAGAAGTAATGGACTTGGGGGGTAGGGCCAACACAGTTGTAGTAGCTCAAGGAAATCAATACTGTGATTAAGTAAACCAGTGGTCCTTGGGAGAAAGCTAAGGCTCTCTCCTCCCAAAGATAGTAGCTCCAAGATTATTAGCCTCAGAAACTCTATGTAGGTTTGTTATGAGTTGGAAATGACTTGTTGACAATGGCTTGTTTTTTTTCTGTTTGTTTTTTTTTTGGGGGTGTGTGTAGTATAGCACATTTTAAAGAGTGCTGGCAATGAAATCGTTATATACTCAGCTGCTAGCTAAGAGGTTGGTGGCTCACTCCCACCAGCTATTCCATAGAAGACAGTTTTGGTAATCTGCTTCCATAAAGATTACTGATTTACAAATTCTATGGGGCAATTCTATTCTGTCCTACAGGATCACAATAAATCAGAATTGACTTGACACCAATGGGTGATGGGTATGGTATTTTAAAGGTAAATATACCAAGGCTAGAAAAAATGCAAAGGAAAAACAAGGTAGGTGATTTGAGGAAAGGAGAAAATAAATATAAGAAATAAGAAGTAACCACCTCCCAAATTATCTGGTCTTTCAAGGTTTTTAATAGAACATGAAAACCAATCTACTAAACTTAAATAACTGAAAAATGGATATTACACTTACTTACTGATACAGCTAGCATATCTTTAAAAATCTTTTATAAGTATTTGGAGAAAATAATGAAACTGAAGTTCTAAGTGAAAATCAATTAATGATGAGAAAATATATAAATAAAATAAAAACAAGTTGAACTCATACATAAACTGGATAATCTAAGTAAAGAGATGAGTTAATCAAGGACCAAGGGACCCATTAACTTAAGAATACAGTCCACATCAACCACAAAAATCCCTGCCCACTTTTAAGTAACCGAAGCTCTTCCATCGGTAATACTCTTAACAGTTGCCTTTTTAGCCCACATATTTAAAGATGCAATGACAATGAAAACTTGACTTACAGTCTGGTCCTTCCAAGTTTAAGTAGGGTATATCCATGACCCTCATAAGAAATAACCTATGAAGAGAGAAGAAAAACAGGCAGTGGGTGACTTGAGGCGCGGAGAGAAGGATGTATGCATGTATTCAAAATTATAAATTCTTTGCACATATTGCTCATGCCTAAAATAATTTTTGAAAGTGCTAAAGATTCACTTCAGAGATCTTTCTGTTGGGTGAAATATTTATCATAATTTTTCTAAATGCTGTAGTATTCCCAAATACCTATAACAGTTTCCAGCACTCAGCAACTGTTCAATAAATCTTAGGCGAGGTCTGGGAAGACCTGCCTGTTCCTTAGTCCAAGGAAGAAGCTAAGAGAAGAGAGCTAGTACTAAACATCGGCCCTATGAAAAAGAGATGATCCAATTTGTAAATATAATTCTTACAATTAATGTCTACCAGCCGAGAATGACAGCATAAGTTACTTTCTTTTTTAATTGAAATACAAAGTTATTGGGAGAATTCCAGCTTTGGGGGTAAGCTGTGCAGTCTGAAATGAGTAACTCTCAAACTCAACTTATTAATGCCACTTAAAGCAACATATTAAGATCATAAAGCAAAACAGCCCTTGGTAAAGAAACCTACTGAACTAATATAAACCACAGTTATTTTATGTACACCTTCTAAAATGAATACACACGTATAAAATACATCAATTAAAAATTTTAAGTCTCTGAAATATCATTTATTCCCCACAATTTTAGAGAAAATATCAGGCTTTCGGTTGCCTATAAGAATATTGACAGCACTGCATGGTATCTGTATCCAGCAGCCTTTTCCTGCTGGGGTGTTCAAAGGACAGTGCAATAGAAATTCAGTATCTGGCATCATTGGTTTTCTTGGCTTTGTGCATGTTAAACCTGGTATTTCTATTGATACAATTCACATAATTCCTTTGAATGATAACCTGCTTGTTCATAAAATGTTAGGAACT